GTGTAGGGTAGGGATGGCTGTGCGTTTGACCCGTCCCAATCCTCAGGGACTCTCAGTGGGAGACCCTGAGAAGATAGCCCTGTGGTTCTCCCCAGTGGTCCTTGAGTCCACGGATCTTGACGACACCTGGGCTGAGCCTCTTCCCTTGTGACTATGCCAGGTTGCCCTGGGAACCCCAGGAGAACAGAATGGCTGGGGCCGTCAACATCCCTGGGCACCGAGGCCTATTCCACACCCCCAGAGTCACTGACATGATTCGCAGGCGGGCAAGTGTAAATACCTCTAAGACCAAAGATTTCTGAAGAAGTGACTATCGGGCTCACCAGCTTACTTGCAAGCACAACTCTCTCAGGCTTTCCTCTTGGTCTTCATGTCAGGAATTTTTGGTGGAGTCAAAGTTTTAGATGATTAAAACCTGAGTCTGGTTTTTTCTTAGTTCATGCCCCCTTGTCTGCTGATGCAAAGGCTCACTTGTCTGCCACCCTCCCCACTAGACTTGGGCCAAGCTCGGCTTTTCCCTGCTCCTCAGACTGTTTCTGTGCTCCCCAGCTCTGCTGATCCTCCTGGAGAGCACACTGGCTTCTCTGCCTGCCCCACCAGATCCACCACATCCTGGGTCCTGTGACTCACGTGAGCCAGCCCTGAACTCTGCTCTTGTCCCTTCTCTGTACACCCTCGCCTTTCTATCTGCCCCCACCTGTCTCTCTCCCCCTCTCTCTCAGTGGTTGGAGCACAATACACAACATCCAATAGAGTGTTCCAAATCCAGTGGTATTTGCAGGAAACCAAAGGAACCTCTATGTGCATTTTCTGCCTGCGAGATGAAGAAATGCCAAGAGAGTTTGCTGGGCAGAGAACACATAAGATACATAAAATATTAGTCCACACTCAGAGGGTTGGTGGGTGCAGACGGCTCGGTTACCCGGTGGGAAGGAAAGCCTGTGCTTTCCCGGTCTGCCTCCTCCTATTGTGAACTGGCTCTGGACTTGGGTTTAAAGGCAAGACGGTCCCCTCTAAAGCTGCAGTCCTCGCTGAGGTGCCATCAGGAGACCTGGAACCACAGCAGAGCACAGAGC